CTCTCTCTCTCTCTCTCTCTCTCTCTCTCTCTCTTTCTCCCTTTCTCTTATGTTCTTGATGCATTGTCCCAGCTTATCCCTGAATGCTTGAGCTCTACAGTGGTAAGGGACCTCAGCCTCTTAAGTAGATGGCACAATAAACACCACAGCTCTATGCCTGGCTAATGATTCTTTTCTTTACTATGTCTAGTCTTTGGGTTTGGCATGTTCTGGTGCGTTTGAGGGGGATTTTGTTTGTTTGAATGATATAGATCATTTTAAATTAATTGTTCTAAGCCCACATATTAAAAATTAAGCTTTTCTCTCTTCCAATTATAGTACCATAATTAAAAACACCATGATTTATTTATGTTTGAATTCAACCAAAGTTTTCTGAGCATCTGCTAGTTGCAAAGCTATGTTCCTTCAACTGTGGGATTGTGACAATTTAAAATGTGGCTCCAAATTCTTCAGCATTTCTCTTGTCATTCCCTTGAATCTTAGTGGGCTTAGGACTGCTTTCAGCAAATAGAGTGTGGTGGAATTGATGCCACATGACTTCTGAAGTTCAGTTGCAAAGACCATACTTTTCGTACCCTCTTTGCTGGAAACTCTCAGAAGCACCTGTATAAGATGTCTGGGTATTTTGAGGCTGCCAAATAAATTACTTGCAGATGCTTGGCCTGTCACCCCCACTGAGCCTCCTCCCTCTAGCCATCCCTACCCAGGAGTCCAATAAGAAAGTGAAGCCTCTTGGACTCCCCAGAAGTCTGTCCACAGCTGTCACCCAGTGACCTTTCCTAGTGATATGTGAACGACAGGCATCACCAGGCAAGCCTTGGCTGATGTCCTGATCCGCATCACGAGCTAAATATGTTGGCTGTTTCTTGACTATGCATGGCTTGTGGGGTTATTTGTTAGGAATCTGCAGATAAGAAGGAAAGCAGAACATTCACCCAACAGTGAGTGTTGAGCACCTGCTCTTTGTCTGGCACCAGTCCTGCTCTGATGGTGCTGTGATTGTGTTTATATTGAGAAAATAGACAATCATGCAAAAAGTGTGATGGTGAAGAACAGGTATAAGGAGCAAGAAGGTATGGATGTGATTTTTCATAAGACAGGGAAAGAGTCTGTTAAGATGGAATTTGAGGGGTTGGGGAGATGGCTCAGTGGAATAAGCATTTCCCTGGCAAGTGCAAGGGCCTGAGTTCCATTCCCAGTTTTGCAAAAAAAAAAAAAAAAAAAAGATGGAATTTGAGTGGAAAAGTGAGGGAAATGCTCCACTACACCATGCCACTCCCTTCTCTGTCCACAGAGGCTGCTGTGTGCACTCAGTGGCTGTTTTACCTCCTCCCATATCTTGGAGACAGAAGTGATAGGTCTGGAAGAAGAGTATAGCAGGTAGAGGGAGCCATCGGGAAGAAGCCACACTGTGGAAGCATGGCTGAAGTTCAGGGAGATGCCAGTGCTTGGGGAAGGTCACTAGAAAGTAATCAGAATCAGAAATCACACACATCCAAGGGCAGAAATATCAGAAGGAACTGGCAAAGTAAGAGGCAGCAAGGAAGTACAGGCTGTACCACAGCTGCAGGTCATGTCCTGAGTGGTGTTAAGAAAGATAAAACTACCTCCCTGGGGTGAAAAAGCTGACCCAGATGGACGGTCCATGGCAGAATTCACGCTCTTTAATTTCTTTTGTCCTTCCACCCAACCCCGACCCTAGTGGTGATAGACCCTGTCAAGCACTGGCTCTGGACTGGGCACTAACTTTACAGAAGAGGAAGCTGAATTCCAGAAGTCGAGTAACGCATCCAGAAACATGAGCTGGCTAAATGTGCTTTGAACTTGGCCATTGTGGTCCAGTTGTGTTCCAGGTTGCTACCTGCTGCTGTCTCTCAGCAGCTCACTACTGCAAAGATAACTGGAATAGCATCAAGGATAATATTTTATAGAGCTAAATATGGAAGCTCAAGAAGCAAATTAGATTCTTTAATTAAAAAAAGAAAAAAGAAAGGAAAACTAAGCGGTGGCAATTTGGCCTTTTGCTCCATCCGCATTGATTTCTGTGCCTCCCAGCCTCACATAGGCTGATGAAGTGCTGTGTGCTTTCTTCAAGCCGGAACAAAGTGCTCGCAAAGTTGCTTTGTTCTCTCTCTCCTGGAGTGTGACTGAAAGCAGAATGGAATGCTGCCTTTTAAGCTATGTGAAATGAAAGCCTTGGTTTCTCAAGGTCATAAAAATGTAATCACATAGATTGAATCCTGTCCAGTGATTTTAATTTAACCCCTCTTCAAAGTTAAATATAGGAAAGAACTTATTGCATCTGAGGAAGGTTGCTGCTGGAAATCATATAACCTAGAATATTAAAGTAATTTAATATTCTTAGAATTTACCCTAAATTCATCTTACAAAGGACTACATATATTTTAAATACAGCATTTCTTCAGATATGAATGCCTTCAGTTGTTTGTTCCTAGGGGTTGTTTTCTTCAAGTTACATGTTTTTCTGGGACATGACTTCTGACCCCTCAGTACAGGTACTCATGTGCCTTTTCTTGCCATCCTACAGATTCTGGGCTTTGTTCCCAGAATATGGTTGTACATTACACTGACAGGAAAATAACCCAGTGCCATAAAATGTAGTGGCCAGGATATCTCTTTCGTGTTCTGCCTGCCACTTCATTCCACAGTCTTGCCTATATCTTTCCTTTTAGCTCACCAATTTTTATCTGAAAAATCTAAGACATTCCTTATCCTTATTATGGTTTAAATTTTCAAAAGTTCAGAATGAGATTTACAGTGAAGCATTTCTGAAGCCTCATCATCAGCAAAGTAAGTGGTAATCAGTATCACTGTGCAGAGGGTATTTGAGGATTTATTG